GCTTAATACAACCAAATGATGGAGTCTTACATCTGTAAGCCCCCGCCCCCCAATGAAATGATGAACAATCTTTTTTTAAAACGTAGGAGAGACCACAAGCCTCAGACACCCTCTGGGGCGTCTTCTACCCCAACCTACGGGGTCGTCCTAAGCGAGAAGCAACATGATGACAGATGGCTTGGCATCCGGGTTCCCCCTGCACCAGCAGGCCCTGCACTAGGCTCCAGGGCCCTTGAGTGGGACGGAAGGGGCTGGCCCGGAGCTCCCATTCTTGCTGGGACTGGAGATGAGGTGGGAATGGGACCAAAAATTGAAAGCCACATTTAAACCTAATCATTTTAGGTGGTTAAAAAACAAAACAAGCAAACAAACAAACAAAAATCCAACAACAACACATTTTGGAATGAAAAGCTGTGGGGGGGCTGGGCCCACGAGCAACACTGTGGACAGAGGGAATCAAGCCCAGAGGTACAGATGCACCGGACACGACAGAGGGGCAGGAAAGGGTCCAGAGGAGCCCTGGGAGTGCGTGGGTGAGGCCCTGGGCTGCAGACCACAAAGTGGCCAGTTCAAATCCACCAGCAATACCTCAAGGACAAGATGAGGACACCGGCATCCGTAAGTCTGTGCTGTCTCAGAAACCCTAGGGGGCAGCTCCACGCTTTCCTGTAGGGTCACTGGGAGTCGGGAACCCACGTGATGGCCATGGGTTACTGTTGTGGGAGTGACTGGGGTAAAGCAACACATCCTGAAGGCTTCCTGGGATTCATGCCGGTCATATCAGGGATTGAATCCTACTCTCCCGCCTCCCAAAGAGGCGGTGTAAATCCTAATGCCCACCCTGGTGGTTACCCATCCGGAAGGTGGGGGCCAGGCCCCGGAGGGACAGAGGGTCCCTGGCAGAGAGCAAGACACTCAAGGAGACAGACTGACCACAGCGGCTACACTAACACAGACACCTAACGGCACCGCTGCATGCTGCTCTGCCCGGCACGACTCCTGTGACTTCCCTCCAGCCACACAGGTCTCTCGCTGTCCCCCACACCCCTCACCCCCTCCTGCCTCAGACCTGCCCACCATTGCCTTCTCCGGGAACCTTCTTTCTCCAGCTTACACTGCCGTCTCCTCCAAATGAAGGCCCTCACTGCGGCTGCACCTTCCTGGGACCTGTCGGGACGCGCAGTGCCCGCCGTGCCCTGTGTGCCCTGTCTCCCTTGGTGGCCCACAGGTAAAAGCATGGTGGCAAACAGCAAGAGTGGTGGTTCAAACCCGCCACTGGCTCTGTGGGAGAAATGCCCAGGCAGTCTGCTCCCACCAGATGATGGACCAGGCAGCGCTCGACACTGTCACATTGGGTCACTGCCAGACAGCACCCAGCCACCACCGCTGCCCTTTCCGGGAAGGACACATCCTGCCGAGCTCTGCAAGTGGCCATGTGGACAGGAAGGGGGCCACTCACCCCTGAGACTCCCCCTTCCCAGGGGCGCCAGCGTCCTCTTCTGTCCCTTCTTTTTTGGTGGCTGGTTTTCGAGGAGCTGGGGATGAAGCAGGAAGATCATGAGTTGGTTTGTTTTTTTCTCCCCATCACTCCTCCCAACCTGCCACCAGGGACAGGCTCAGGGGCCAGGAGGGAGGGAAGAGGCCCGGGGCCCAGAAGGAGGCCTGCTCCACAGAAAGGAGCCCTTAGGTGGGACAAGTAGCTACACTAACGGTCTACTACTAACCTCATTGGAGCCCCAGGGTGCAGTGGTTGAATTGGACTGCTGCCTACAAAGTCAGCAGTTCAAACCCACAGGAGGAGAAAAATGAGGCATTTTACTCTCCTAAAGAGTTCCAGTCTGGGAAACCCACAGGGACAGTTCTATCCTGTCCTGTCGGGTCAATGGGAGCTGGAATCCACTCCTGGGCAGTGAGTGCCTTACCTACAGGTTGGCGGTCCCAAGTCCACCTGAAGGTGCCTTTGAAGACAGACCTGGCCACCTGCCGCCAAAAAGCTCCCTGCATGGTTCATCTAGGCATGCATGTGTGGATGGGCAGGGGTTGGGAATCAACGCATTATTAACTGGCTCATGGTTTGGTGAGAGAGAAATCCGGTGCCATTCCCACAGGCAACAACTTTGGGGGAGGGGGGCGCAGTGGCTTCGTGTCACTGAGAGCAGGAAGGATTTGGGGTGGGTGGTCCCGGCCTTGGAACTCCCGGGGACCACCGCTCGACTCTGAATCCTAGGTGGCCTTAGGTCAACCAGCACCAGCACCAGGAAGACGAGTGGGCAGGGCACTCACTGAAGAAGCTGCTGATGGTCTTGGGAGGCCGGGGGGCAGGCTTGCTCTGGTCACGCTCCCGCGAGTTCTTCTCGTCCACTGCAGGCTCGGAGGCAGTTGCTGCTGGGGTCTCTGCTTCTGCATGGACAGAGTCAGATGGCGACACAGGTCATCCCCACCTCGAGACCTAGGTTTCTTTTTAACCCCAGGTCACTCCGACCTTGGAGATGGAGACTCGGGCTAATTCTGCCCCGTCCTTCTCACCCAGTGAGCCCTGAACGAGCCCCAGGACTGTGGGCACACGGCTCGCTGATGGAATACCAGCACTGGGCCTGGGTGCCCCAGTTAGGTCAGACACCCCACAGACAGGTGGCTCTCGCAAACTCAGCCTCTCACAGCCGAGGAGCTGGAAGCCCAAATTGGGGCTCTAGGGAAATGCTCTCTCTTCAGCCCTCGGGGAAGGTCATCGTTTCTCTGATCTTCTGCTCCTGACATCTCTTCCCCATCGCTGTTCCCCGTCGCTACTGCCTCAGGAGAGATGGACTGAAGACCTAACTGGGAGAACACAGCCTCATCTCCATGACAAAAGAACACCGCCCCCCCCCCCCACCGAGTGCAGTGGTTTAGCGCTGGCTGATAACCTAAAGGTTGGTGGTTCGGATCCACCAGCTGCTCAGAGTCAAGATGAGGCTTTCTGCTCCAATAAAGACCAACAGCCTCGGAGGCCCACAGGGGCGGGTTCCACTCTGTCCCACTACAAGTTGGCACTGGCTCACCTGCAGGGGGTTCGTTTTGCTTGGGAATGGGCCCTGGTGGCAAAGCGGTTAAGTGCCAGACAGCGGATCACCTTACAGGCCGGCATTCCCAACCCACCCAGCGGTTCTGCGGGAGAAAGGCCTGGTGATCTGCTCCCACAAAACCCCATGGGGGCAGTTCCACTCGATTCCATCGGGCTGCTCCCTGTCGGTTGGTGGAATGCCCTCTACAAGCTTCCTTTCTTTAAAGAATCCTACTGGATTCTGCAATTAAGACGCATTTGAGGAGCTCAGTCTCCATTCAGAGAGCTTCTCCAGACACCTCTGACTGCCCTCCACCCCACCCCACCCCGACACTCCCAGGGTTCTGCCTGGGGGTGGTGGGTGGGAGAGGACCAGAAACTCACTGGCAGTCTGGCAGCGGTCGGGGGACGTCCTGGGTGGGTCCCTGTCCTCTCCGGCCTTCTCTTTTGCCACGTCAGGCGCTGTGCTGTTCTCAGCTGGGACAGGTGCTTCTGGGGACAGACGGAAGTCAGTCAGGGGGTGAAAACCAGCTGTGGCAGCCCCGAGGGCATTCTCAGCCCCACCCCCACCCCCGTCTGTCCTCTACCCCCATTTGCTGTGTGCTTTTGCGTTGCCAGTCCCTGTGCAGCACACTAAAGTGTCACCGTCGCCCCTGATAGTCCAACACCCACTTCCGTTTTTGTGGGAGGAACCCACACAGAAACTGTGTCCCCCAGGAAGGATGAACCTAGAGGGAGGAGAATAAGGGGTTCAGGGGGAGGGGAGTAGAAT